GGCAAGGAGCGACAGAGTTCCCAGTGGGCTGAGGGGTGTAAAATTCACAGTAAGGGCCCTTTGTACTAGTAAGTTGTAACCTATCAGGGTGGTGAATATTGATAAGTCTATGCTGGATATGAGATTCTCAACATCCAGCAACGAGCATTTGACGGAATCGGCTTCGACAGTTGGACTTCAAATGTTTTTGGTATTTTGGTGGCAGCGGAGTGGTGAGAAATACTCGGGTTACAGGAAGGGACGAAACACAGTTTTCATTTGTGTGGAGTGCAATTAAGGATTTGGGCACATCTCCTCAGCCATTGTAAGCATATGAAGTTATGAACGGTTTGACGCGTATCGTTGCGCGGGGAGTGTGCTGAAAGGGCAGCGCGGAGGGAATGAGCAGGAGGGGAAGTGTGCGGAGCAGGGACTGACTGATTTGAATTTTGTATGGAAACTTGGAAAGGTAGTCTGGTATACTTGCACTTATGATAGTTGGATTGTATACTAAGTCTGGTATACTTGCACTTAGTTATGATAGTTGAAAAGGTAGTCTGGTATACTTGCACTTGTATGGTAGCTTGAAAAGGTAGTCTGGTATACTTGCACTTAGTTTTGTATTGCTGTTTCAGAGATTGCAGCAATTGTAGTTCCACTGCCGTAGAGGGGTTTTCTCGCGGACTTTGAAACAGCAATCCACAGTTCCACTCCGGGGGTTCCACTGCCGCGAAGGATTCCACTGCCATGGTTCCACTGCTGCAAAGGGTTTCCACATCCATGGTTCCTTTACCGTTGTTCCACTGCCGCGAAGGGTTTCCACAGCCATGGTTCCACTGCTATGGTTCCACTGCCATGGTTCCACTGCCATGGTTCCACTGCCGCGGTTCCACTGCCACAAAGGGTTTCCACAGCCATGGTTCCACTGCCGCGTAGGGTTTGCACAGCAGCCATGGTTCCACTGCCGCGAAGGGTTTCTTGCCGATTTCTCGGGAGCATAGATGGGCACAATTGTTGCGTAGAGAGAGAGAGGTTCAGATGGTGATGTACGGAATCGACGGAAGTGTTTCTCACTGTACGGAAAACCCAATTGTGGTTGTTGAACAGTGTTTACGTGCGGTTGTGATTCTCGCTCCAGCTCCATTTTTAGATGTGCAACTGTTGCATAGGGATTATGATCGTTAGATTGTCCGTTGTCGGCGTGCACAGATTTTGATCCTGGCGTCTTTTTTTTTTTCTTTTTTTTTCCTGGCATCTTCTCTTTTTTTTTTTTTTTTTTTTTTTTTTGTGGTAAACATCCGAGGTGGTACTAGGGGTGCTGGTAAGAGCAGACACCGCTAGAGTACTCCCAGGGAGGCTCCGTCTATTGGTGGGGAGCAGCACCTGCTGGAAATCGGGTCCAGCGTCCCTTTCTTTCTCATTCATGCCATGCATTGTGAGATCCAATTGTCATAATGCTCATGCTTACCGTCGTCATGGACAGATCCTCATGTTCATCGTCACACTCTCCATCCGGACAAGAAACTAACATTGTCACACACGTGGTCACCGTTGTTGTCACACTGTTTTCCTGTGTTATCATTGTCATGCACATGGTTACCAATTGTCACACACATGGTTACCAATTGTCACACGCATGGTTATCACCCTCACACGCTGTCGTCATTGTGACACACACGGTTACCATTGTCACACGCATGGTTATCACCCTCACACGCTGTCGTCATTGTGACACACACGGTTACCATTGTCACACATAGTCACACATCATCATTGTAACACACACGGTTACCATCGTCACAGACATGGTTACCATGGTTGTGCATGTGGTTACCATTGTCACACACATGGTACCATTGTCAATTTGTCACACATTGTCACACACATGGTACCATTGTCAATTTGTCACACACATGGTTATCATGGCCGTGCATGTGGTTACCATTCTAACACATGTGTCACTCACTATCCATCCTGACATATGGTTACCATTCTAACACACATGTCACACACATGGTTATCATGGTCGCACATATGGTCACCGTGGTTGTCACACTGTGACAGTTGTCCTGTGTTACCATTGTCTTGCACATGGTTACCAACTGTCACACACATGGTTATCATTGTCACACGCATGTTGACCATCATCACGCACATGGTACCATTATCGTCATTGTAACACACATGGTTACCACTGTCACACATTGTCATTATCACACACCTGCTACCTTTGTCACACATCGTCATTGTAACACACATGGNATTATCACACACCTGCTACCTTTGTCACACATCGTCATTGTAACACACATGGTTACCACTGTCACACATTGTCATTATCACACACCTGCTACCTTCGTCACACATCGTCATTGTAACTCGCATGGTTACCATGTTCGTTCACGCAGTTACTATTGTCACCCACATGTTGCTATTGTCACGCACATGGTTACCACTATCACATGTCGTCACATGTCGTTATTGTCACCCACATGTCGTTATTGTCACGCACATGATTACCACTATCACATGTCGTCAGATGTCGTTATAGTCACCCACATGTCGTCACATGTCGTTGTTGTCACGCACATGGTCACCATTATCACACATCGTACCATGTTCGTGCATGCGGTTACCATTGTCACCCACATGTCGTCACATGTCGTTATTATCACACACATGGTCACCATTGTCACACATCGTTTTTGTCACGCACATGGTTACCATTGTCACACATGAAATTAGTGCAAAGTACCAGTTGTGGTTGCCACTATCTCACCGCTCCAGGGCGATGTGATGCTCATGCTCATAATTTTTGTGACACAAAAAGATGTACTACATCAATCATTATCACACCTGAGACTCGTCAGAGTCGTGTTGAGCAGAACACAACTTCATCATTGTTGCATCGAGACTGACCCCTCGTCACCCTCTGCGTCATCCTTTTCATGTCCTCCCTCCTATCTTTTTGGTCACCACTGTGCCTCCTCCTTTGTCTTCCACCTCCTCAGTCGTCAGCATCACTGCTGCATACAGTCACTTCTTCCTCCTCCACTTCTCCTCCTATTCCTCCTCTCCCTCACATAGCACATGTTCTTCTTCTTCTCCTTCAGTGTTGCTGCGATTGAAGTCCAGCAAGATGGAATCCTTTTTTTTTGACATTCTTTGTAAATGCACCATCTGACATGAGAATGCATTCCGCTTCTTGTTCATATGATGTTCTTCATCACACATGTTTCAAGTTTCAACTGCGAGCAGAAAGCGTGACAACCTAGATTTCGGCTTTTAAATCAGAGGAAAAAGGTTGTCACGCTTTCTGCTCGTATGTTTATAACTAGGCTACCAGAATGGCCCGGGGTCACTTGCCCGGCCGGGCCAAAAACAATTAAAAATAATAAAAATAAAAATAATAAATTTAAACTTTGTTTTGTTTTCTAAATTTGGTGCAGAATTTCGATGTGACCCTGAGGCAAAAGTTGTTCAGTTTATTTTTCTGCATAACATAGTTTTTTTTCGGATTTTTTTGATTTGTTTTTTTTGTTTTTTGTTTTTTTTTTTTGCTGGGACCTTCCCTGGTCCTTGCACGGGCTGGCCACCGGGACCCGGGCGGCCCGGCTGGTAGCCTAGGTTTATAATGATTTTAATGATTTTGTACACCAATTTCATTATCTGTACCTTTATAACACACACACACACACACACACATTTATAACACACACACACACACACACACACACACACACACACACACACGCGCGCGCGCAGAGAGAGAGAGAGAGAGAGAGAGAGAGAGAGAGAGAGAGAGAGAGAGAGAGAGAGA